AAGAAGATTGCTCCGGCAAAATGTTACACAATAATCGGCGCTAACACGCGACCGGGAAAGTTTTTATTTTGTTGTGAACATCGCGAGTTACGTTTCTATTTTCAGTACAGTCTATTTACAGTTTCGCCGTTTTTCGTTCTTTAAAGAGTAACTTTGCGAAGAATCCGGGCGGGCCTAATTAAATTATAAGTTGTGCCCGGCAAATCCGAAAGTAGTCACGAACGTATAGGGAATGATTAAACTTTCAGCAAAATTTAAGCTTTCATCCACAAGTTGTCAACTGTACGTATTCGTACTTTCTCACTTTTGACTTTTTCAAGAATATTACACGAAGAAAAATTGTATTTTTACAAAATTACGATGCAAAGCGCGTTTTTTTAATAACAGATTTTTAGCTAAACTTAGAATGTTTCTTTTTTAAATAAAATTTCAAAGAAAAATTTTTTATATAATAACAAATCCTTCACGTTTGCTTCAATTATAACAATTTTTTTTAAATTTAATATCGACTAAAAATATTTTTAATTAAAAAGTAAACAAAATAGTACATATGCAAATTGGTTTTAATGCATCATTCTCGAAAAATGCGATATACTGGGATCGACCAAGAAAAGTTGTAAAATCCCAGTCCAGAGCGGATTTTCAGGGAAAAGCATTTTGGTTGCGTAATTCTGTGCTTCTGTATAGCTTAACGTACTCTTCTTATCTCATCCGCGTTGCCGCGCATAGGAAGAAGAGCGCGCTGCGACGGTCGTCATATCGTTGCTCGTACGTAAATACGCACGTCGGTCGATGTAGGCCGACATCTCTTAAAGGCGTTAAACTGGGCCACGGTGCGTCGGCCTCAGGGCTAGAAATATCACCGGTGCACACACGAGGCGAAAGAGCGCCCGAACGATTAACCCTCATCGCGACTGAAATGCGCTTGACACGTACACGAGCGTGACTTTATCCCACGGTAAACTGTTACGAAGACTCGAAGCGAGAGAAGATACACTTTTCGCATTTACGATTCAGATTGAGGCCTCGATAGAGGTTTTAATTCAACGTCGCTCTTACTTCCAAATTCTTATTAAGCAAATCTCTTTCTCTCTCTGCTGGATTTTATTATAATTTTTGTAAAATGCAATTATTTGACGCCGATTCGAATTGAAACCACGTCTGAAATGTGCAAAGCTTGCTAACTTCGTACAGATTATGTCGTCTTTGGTTTCTTATAGGAATTAGAATTTAAAAAGACGATGCAAAGAGTAGTATATAAAAATAATAATTATATCATTCTCGTCTTTTATTTTAATCGTGAAAAGTTGTATTACAATCTCTCTGGGATCTGCTACGTATTCATATTGTGAGTGAAGGGATAAACGCCCGCGACAGAGTCGCATAAAGGATTACGACAGTGTGTGTACAAATAAAATGAGACGCATGTGACTTATAAAACACATCAAAGCGACAGACTCGTACTTGAAGCTCGCGCTTGCATGGAAAATGAACTAATCGTTAGTAATGCAAAAGCATTAAAAGGTAGCGCGGAATATAGAATGTTTTTTTAATAAAAGATGCAGCGACTTTCTGCTGTTTTAACTAGTGCAACTTGTTTGCATAATCGTGTTACTCAAACAATTTCAATTGTATTGATAAAATATATAGAGTGCGGAAGAGGAAAAAAATTTAATTCTTTAATGTACTATTTTTTTAAATATAATCTTTCAAAAGACAGAATATAGACTGCAAAAGAAATAATTCTAACAAAATGAATTTTTAAAAATTATATAAATATAATTTTCAAAATTTTGTTCTGTAAAATATAAATATTGCACTCTATTATTTAAAATCGTCTTTTGGCGTTACTGAAAGATAGACCGGTTAGACACACGTACACGTAATCGTATTACAAGGATCAAGTTAAAAGTGGCAAAACGCAGCTGTCTGTAGCCAGCGCTCGTTTCTCTCCTCTCCTTCTTCGGCGCGGCGCGACTTAGGGAAAATCCAGCCCTTTAAATTATTGCATGAACTTTACTTAGACCGTGAAACTTGGAAATAACCTGCGGACTTCTGCGGTTTATAAGGAAAGAAAAAAACGAACTTTTCCGCATTTCAGCGTAGCGAATAATAGATCTGAAGCCACGTCTTTTTCTGTCTTGAGGATTACGCTGTTTTAGATACAGCCAGTATTCTACAATTTTTCATTAAAATTTGTTGTTGTTTTTTCAACATAACACAAAAGAAATTCAGTTTCAAATTCTAGCGATAAGATGACAATAAAATATCGTCACAAATACAATTTATTACATGTTAACTCGAGAGGACAAATTTCTCTTACATAACGACAATAAGTGTCGTTGAAACAGGCTTCCCCAACGTTCCACTCTAGTTTAAGACCAAGGTCGTTGATCCTCGCACCGAGGGGATAAATGTGCTGGAAAAGCCGGTTTCCGGGCTATGCCCGGCCTTCGCGCGGCCTTGGCAGTGACGCGAACGATGATGAGAGATCGTGATATTAATCGCGTGCGTTAAAGCCCCGGCTTCACCGGCGCAGCTGTGAGTATTCCCGGGCAAATGTGATCGACGTAACGGCGCGCGATGATGTGAGCGGATCTTGTATTAAAATTGTTTCACTTTCAGACGATCCATTGAAAAGGCTATTTGTATTCGACGTTTTTTAATATAAAATTATTAATTGATTACTATTTTATTTTATATTATAATGAGCGTTCAAATTCTTTAACCGATATGCGTTGGCCTTGCGGAGCATATTTGTTTTTTATTCTTTCATGTTTCCTCTGTAACGATTGTTTACTTTCTATTATGTTATCACTGAAGATGGCCAAAATAAATGTGCCGAAACGTATGAATTGATAATTTGGTTAATTATTATTTTTTGAGCATCTAACACCTGGCTCTGGGTCAACATAGCTATTTTACATTTTTAATAATATTTTATTATTAAGGCCCAAGTTTGACATTTCTTTTATAAAATTATTATCCAGAAATTTGTCTATAGAAACTTTGATGTCTTCGGATCTACATTTGTGCAACGAACATATACAAATCTGTGTCAGCGCGTTTTTTTTCTTTCTCGCGTGTGAAAAGGACCGGCGAGGAACTGCCAGTGTCGACACACCGAGAGAAGGTGTCGTCCGTTTTCTTATTTTAAAAGCGCCAGAAAGAGGCGGCAGCCGAGTGCGCGCAGCCTTTGAGCAGCCTTGGCAATGGAGTGCGTTCGCCAAGAAGCACTTTCCGGCATCGTGAGCATCGTCGTGCACGTCGGGAAAATACACCGGCCTTGGGAATATCGATGAGCATAAATTAAGAAAGTTTCCCCCCTAAGCGCAGTCCAGAACGGCTTCGCCGTGCGCGAGATTGTCGCGATGAAACAATCGCTCGTGTGTATATAGTTGGTATCGATAAAAAGTAATAAGGGTATATGTGATATTCATAATGGCACACTCAGATCATATCGTATTTCATTGGTTTATCAGAGATTGTTCTGCTGATAGCGTATCTTTGCTTATTTATCAAAATTATATGTAAATAATATTTCGATATATCGTTATATTGGTATTTTCCTGACTAATTAAACACATTCAAATTAACAGTTTAACAACGGCGTGCAATTACGCGTCATTATTTTGTTTTATGTAAATTATCCAACTATTACCGCGTCCATTTACCATAAATAATCAGTTTTTCCGCGTTACGATTGCAGCATGATATACTATAAAGGCAATAAACTGCGGCGCATTTTTATATCGAACGGAAAACAAAATAATAAAAGTGCGTGGTCGATAAACGGAGAGGTGTAGCGTAGTGATATAGCGACTATAATCCTAAATAAAATATACATAGTATTGATATTTGTAAAAATAATGTGAAATACATTTCGCGAATTTTATTGGACGGTCAAAGGATCAGTGGATTTAAAGTTGACGTTTTAGGGAAAAAAATGTACGATAGAAGACTATTATTTTTCGTGACGTTTTAATTTTGAACGTAAAAGTGTTTTGACACACCAAAAATAAAATTTCTGGAAGCAGGATCCATTTGGAACTGAAAAGCTATATGTGTGTGTTTTGTTATATGAAATTTAAGCTGTGGAAAAGTAAATTGACTTTTAATACGAAACATTTCCGTGGCTGGGTTTTTTTTATTAAATTTTTGTCAATTTATGGCCGTTCTTCCTTGAACGCATCCCTTCGAGAAAATCCAGTTACTTAACCGGTTGGTCATTGATCCTTCGCGCACAAAGCAAGACAATAGACTAGGATAATTGCACTCGCGTGCACGCTCTTTTGACCGTCCTTGACAGTGAAACGCAGATCACCGTGAAATACTTTCCGCAACTACGAACATCACGTATACATCAAAGCGGTGGATTACATTGGCCTTCGATATATCGATTCATTGATTCGTTCACGCAAAAAGAAGAGTTTATTTAAACTTTTCCTGTGCCATCGTATTATTGAGTCACGTCGGGACACATCCGGTCGTTGTTTTGCAAATATTTATCGCCATAAGCGGAATCTCGATGCAGTAATGAAGCAGTAATGAGCTGCTTAGAAATTAATTGGTCGAGTAACTAAGTTTGTTCTCAACTATATTTGGACTAGCCAACTTGGCTGTCGCCAATTTATTTATGGCATATGCAAACGTAGGCGCGGACCGCCGTCTATGTTTTTATCGCCGCGAAACGGCGAATATCATACAGGTAGCGATGAAACTTTAACGAGACGGTTATGGCTTCCACTCTTCTTGGTGCATACATCGTGAAATATGGAAAGCGCTTTCCGGGTTGTTCTTGCATGTCCTTAACAATAAACAGCTATTCAATATTTTGCGACGTCCTGCATAATTCACACTAACATTAAAGTAACAAATCGTTGAGATGCTGATACAGTTATAAAAAAAAAAGTAATCACGATTTTAGAGATACGTTATTTCTGTGTACAAATAATAGTGATGGGTTCACTTTCGACAATAATTACGCTGTTATGTTGCAGAGGACCTTCGGCGCTGAGACTTTGGCTCCTGTTCGACCTTTAGCTGCTCAGGATGGGAGGAGCGAGCCGAGAAGTCCGGCAAAGCCCAGAAGCGTTCGTGCTCGCAAGTCATCGTGTTGGGCGAAGCTGTTCTTCGTGCGATTAGTGGCTGTGCCGGGATAGCGCGGGACGGGGGTGGTTCCTTCCATCGTGTGAATCGAGATGACCGATCTACAGGCCACCCTCGAGTTCTCCCTCGAGCTCTGCAAGTTCTACAATGTTGATCTCTTCCAGCGCGGGTAAGATTAACGGTCGCGCCGCTCGTATCCGCGCGATCGGCCGCCGAGGTGTTCCATTTAAGAGAGTTCTGTGTCTTGCAGGTACTATCAGATCCGGACTGCTCTCAGAGTATCACCGAAAATACCAGTCAAGGTGGAGGTTAATCAACCGCGAAACCGTAAGTACTTTATCGATTGAAGTACCAAGTCTTTGCAATACAGATACTTTATTTCGCATGATATATTATTTGTTTTATAATTATCACATATTTATCTTACAAGTCTTTTTATTAGCAATCATTTTCCCTTCTTCGACCAAAGTTTTTTCTATTTTAAAATTTAATCTTAGGCATTTTCACATTTCTGTTTCTAAAGCTTCTTTCAGACGATCCACTGTGATATAGAAATTGAAATAGAATTCTATTTGTAATTTTATGTACCGTGTAATCTAGCATTTGAAAAATCAGAATCTCGCATAAACAAAATATTTATATCAAGTATGTGCGCGAAGTATCTTTGTAATGCGTGAATCAATTAAGACTCAATCAATCGAAACACGCGTTGTTATACAACAAAAGGATCTTTATTTTTGCAAATGCCCGATAAATTATATCGAAATATTACGATGCAAAGTCGAAATTGTCAAAAATTACATTAAAAAACTCGTCGTCAGTTTCTTATATCATGTATTTATACGTGGGTGTTTCTCGCGATTCTTCAGATATTTTTCATTACACAAAATTACAGATAGATTTCTATCTTGAATTCTGTCGCGAATTATAGATCGTCTAAAGCGAGCTTTACACGTGAGTCTTGCGTGAGCGTGAAAGGCTCGTGATTTATTTTTCGCATTTTGCTGAAAATTCTTGGTTGTATCACGCGAAAGTCATTGCTAGATTCATTGATTCCCGCTCGATCGATCTGTCGCTCGTATCTTTGGGGAGGAACAGCAAGGAATTCGCCGGACAAGCGCACACTCGTTGTGTTGCAGATTCGCTGGAAAGACCGGGCACGAGTAAGCGCTTTCAGATTCTCTATAAAAACGAAGAGGTGACACTCGGCACCTCCGTGCTGTTCCGAGCGCACGTGCTCGTGCACAGTCACAAGATTGAGGAGGCCCTGTCGCGCACCCACTTCAATCTAGGCGTCGAGCTATGGTTCAGCGAGCCGACGCAGCCGGGCAACATGGCTTGCGTGTCCTCGAGGTGAGCGTCTTGCCGTCTGACATAAAAGTCCGTACACTTTTTTTTTTACTAGTAATAACACGCAAGGGTTGGACAATCTGGACAATCAGCCAACCGTACAATTCTTATTTCTTGTTTGTGATTTTTTTTCTCGGGAACGCGATACGTAAGCCTGCGAATAATTATCGAGAAAGACGAATGGTGGTGGAATTAAAGGAGAAAGATTACTAAGTTGGGCTATTTACGACAGATTATTTTATGATTTTAGAGTTTGATTAATTGTAGAATGTTGTAATATTAAAACGCAGAAAAATAGGAATTTTTAAAATAAGAAAACGATATTATTTTAAGTATGTATTGATTAAAATAACTATTCAAAGTGTTTAATAATAACCTAAATCCAAGGTTATTTTCGCGTATGTAAATTTCCTTGAACATGGCACGAGCAAGCCATTTGGATTACACTCGCGCAGCTCAATTACGGCGTACCTCCTTTCGAATGTCACATACGTTCCTAAGTGACTCTTTCATCAAGTTCTAAAACTGATTGTCGCCGGGAAGACTTGATAAAATTGACGCGGATCTAATAAGGTTCCGTTGAAGAAAATTACTACGGGCGACATAATTCCCGACGCTCGTAAAGACGTCTAAACGATGACTTAATCTCTCGAACGTCTCTCAGACAGCTATCGGACATCTGTTGGGATATTTGTCCACAAATTGTGCGGATCCGCGCCGAGTTGATCGATGACGGTTTTCGACTGGAAGTCGCTATCGAGTCCGCGCGTGATCGATAGGAGATTTGACGGACGTTCCTTTTCAGGGCACTGCAGCTGAACTTTACACCTACGAAGGGCCTTCACTACCATCTGCCAGTGCTTTTCGATTACTTTCACCTCGCCGCGGTGTCCATCACGATCCACGCCTGTCTTGTAGCGCTTCATCAACCCTACATCAAGTCAGTATCGCTTGATCGCGCTCGCATTTTGTAACTCTTTATTTTGCGCTATTCTATACATAATCTATATTCTATATATAATCTAGATTCTATATTTATAATCTATTACATACTATTCCACATAATAGACAACTGTTCTATGTATAATCGACGTTATTCCAGAAGAGAAACCTTCTTTCTGTTTCATGGTCGCGTACTTCGGCGAAACGCAGGAAGAGCATACTGCACGTAGTGCAAAGCTGGTGAGTTTTTGACACTTTGAAGCAACTCAGAACTAAACTTTTCGCGCGCCAGTAAGTCGCGCAATTTATGATCTCTGCCCCGACTTTTGAATTCCTCAACCAATCAACTTGATCTTGAGTTTGAATCTATAATGCGCCGCTTGTGTGTTAATTTTTGTACAATTTTAAAAACAATACAATACAGAAATATTATTACAATGCGTTTTGCATCGAAAAGACTGCTCGGATTAAATAAAATGCGGTGCAAGTTCTTTTCTAGCTTTCAAAAAAAAAAAATTGATATTTATATTAAAAATGAAACAAATCTACAAGTTATTTAATTACAAATTGATCGAATTGCAGTGCACCACGAGGTGGGAAACCCTGGTTACAGTTTAAGCAACCGGCGGCGAATGGCGATAACAGTACGACGACCTTCGGAAACATTGTGAGTGTTTGATCATCGGTGTTGTTACGTGAAAACGACATTGCTGTTCGATAAATCTAACTCCGCGGATTATTTCAGGAGACCACGACGAGATGCGTCGGATCGGCGACGAGGATACAAAACGCGCGACTCGTCCAGCAAGAGGTCACAAGATTGCTCTTGGCCGTGAGAGAATCTTTGCTCAACGATCTGTCTGATCTGGCGCGGCTTCTCCCTTCCTGGCAACAAAGGGCGCTCGAGCTCACACAGAAAACGCACAAAAGATCACAAAGGTTCGATTTTTCACCTTGTGGCACGCTTTCAATTTTCAGATGAAGATTCTTCTTCAAATCCTTATCGCATTCGCTTTTTGCAGTGGATAGACACCGAAGAGGCTGACATAGCCCAACTTTGCGCACAAAATATCGTTCTCTGGGAGTTATTTCTGGAAGCGTTCTCCGGCCGAGAAGAGGTTCACGAGCATTTAGCACGAATTCATCATCAACTGAGAGTAAATACAATAATCAGCTATTAGATGATGATTAAGAATTCAATACTAATTCAATTTATTTCATCCAATTAATTTTATTTCATTGACGCAACTTTATTCGATCGCCCGCGTTTAATCACTTTCAGGTAAAACGGTTTGCGGAAGGTTTCTTCGTATTAGAAAATCCAAGAACATCGGCAGCGGGCTGCTACGACGCGAATTATCAATCTTATCAAGCGGTGAGCGAGGCTGCCCGAAGATCGCGTTATCTCGCGTCATTGCCGCCGTTACCTGTCCATTGTCCGGAGCTGGACGGCGATCTTCACTCGTTGCCTTTGATTTTTGAGGATCAATACGCTGACATGCAGCAGAGGCACAGAAACAGCGGTAGGTCTGTCGCGATGCACATCGGAGCGACTTAGCAGCTTGAAATATTACAGCAGAATATAATTTTCGGAATAATAATTAATATGTAATTGTGCGAGAACGATGAATAATCCGAAATATACTGCCATAAATTTTTCGGACACCACAGTAAATAATCTTTGCAGTTCCCAGTATGGACGACTGCAGCTGTGGGATAGCGGCGATACTGGAATCGCGCTCGGTGGGCATCTGGTCGCCGAGGAGCGAGGGCGCGGCGCAGGACATCGGCTCGATCCAAGCCCGCCTCATGCTGATGCCCTCGACGCTTCCGGCGAGGCACAGCAAGTCCCTCGATCAGCTCGGTCCCGATCTCGTGGCGCCTCTGCAGCCGAGAACGTCGCCGAAGACCCTGCCTAGATCCGTGTCGACCCAGCTGTTCCCGCGTGGGCAGCGCGGCGGCGGTCGCAACGTCACGCCGCCCGCGACGGTGCCTTCGAGGGGGAGGCCGCGGTCGACAGTGCCGTCCAGTAGCACCCTCTTCCCGCCCTCGGGCCAGCAGGCCTGCTCCGCGCCGAATCCATCCCTCGGCTCCACGCCGGTGATCACTCTGCCTCGAGCCAAGTCCACGCAGATGCTGGTTCCGAATCGGCAGCAGCAGCATCAGCAGCAGTCGGATTATCAGTCCACATCCATCACCTCGCTGCTGGCGGCGATGTTCCCCGAGTTACCGCCCGGCGGACATCTGCCCGGTTACCGACCGTCGTCCAAGTCCTGCGATCAAAATCTCACCGTGCCGACCTGCATGGGCGCTCTGGACCTCAGTCAGCTGCCCGATTGCTTGCCGGAGAGCAAGTCGGGAAACATGCTGGAAGGTACAGAAATATCTAAATCCAGCAGCTTTCTCTCGGATCAGCTCTGTTTCACTCCGAATTTTTCGATTCCACGTCGACGATCAATCTGTCTCGAACAGATTTACACGGAAAAAGTTATATTTGAATGTCCGAGCATTAATTTATTTATATTTATTTATATTTATATGAGTTGAGAACATGGTGATTTTCGATCAACATCTCAATAAGTAATTCTCGCAATCACATTCTCGTGATCACTTCATAAAAGTTTTTATTAATGACGAATTAAATTTACTGTCTTCTAAGAAACAGTTTGTAAGGGTAGCACTGATGATGGCTGAAAGATCAGCCGAAACGTATACTGCTTAATTAAAACATTGGTTTGAATAAAAAGTATCAAGAATTACAATCTTCTTTGGCTTGAGATCCTCCTGCTATTCCATCGTTTTGAAATTTGCGAGCCTAAACATCAAGTTATTAATTTATTTATAGTATATTTTTTTAAGAAAAAATAAAATAATGGAATAACGTTGAGAAATTAATCGCGAGAACAAATTGATTAATTTCTTGTATTCGGTGCAGACTATCACTCCCTCGATACGAGGAGAATACGACTGGAGCCGCGAAGTCATCATCTGGGAACACGCCAACCGCTGCCAACGACCACAAACGACCAAAGTAGCTTTCTACCCGCCAAGGCGAACATAAACGGCGACAGTTTTCTGTACGACGGTCAGCCGCTGCACACGGCGACGCTGGACAGAATCACCTACAAAGGGAACTCCGGAAAGTCGAGAAAGTCCGGACATCAGACGGGTGGCAAGTACAGTCAGACGAACGGCGTCGAGAGCCGCAGATATCACACTCTCGGTAAGACATCGATGACGCACAGAAGTCGCCCGGAGATACCAGAATCCATGAACGGCAGCAGTCATCTGCTGCTGGCCGATTTTCTCAACAAAAAATCGTCATCCAACTACTACGCGAGCACCACGGACTCGTTCTTTTATCGCACAAACGGCAGCACCAGCGCGAGAACCCGCGACGAGATGGACAAGCCGAAGAGACCGAAGAGCACGGAGCGACTGCTCGACGCGGTGGAGCGCAACGAGTGCTGCGACTTCCGACGAGACCGGCCGTCGGCTCGGAGGAGAACAGAACGATCGACCAAGTCTCGCAGCAGCGCGGCGCAAAACTACGAAGAGAAGCAGCGACGCGAGAAGAAGACCGCGGAGACGCCTCAGGAGCCGATTTACGAGGTGATAGCTCCGAAGCCGGAGCCGAAGAGGGAGTCCCGCGTCGAGAGAAGAAGGGACAAGCACAACAGGAGGCCGCACTCCGCGCCCGTTCTCGACACGGATCACCCGGCGGAGGAGAGCAAGAAATGCAGTCACAGGAACCGGAAGCCGGCGCCGCCACCGCTGGCGTATCAGGATCCCGCTGTCGCTCCCTTGCCCAAATATCGACACCTCCCTCCGGCGCCCGCGACGAGCGTTCTCGAGGTGGAGAACAACAACAAAATTATCTTGAAGGTAAAAGAGCGCGCGTCATCAATTGTGCAATTTATATATAAAATTAATAAATGATATTTATGCATCTCGATATTGCAACTTTGAATTCTCACCGTTTAGATGGAACCTGTAAAGTCGCCCATGGAGGCGCCGACGACCAACGGCACGACGCCGTCGGACGCGTCGAGCGCGGCGGTGCCGCCGCCGGGCGTGAAGAGGCTGCGATGCGCCAGCGTGCCGGTCGCCCAGAACAAGGTCGTGGTGCCGCGCAGCGCGGTCTCGCTGCCCTGCATGCCGATACGCGACAGCAAGGACAGTCTGAGCAACAACTTGCCGGCGATACCGAATCTCCTCAGTCCGCCGTCCACCCGGCCGAGCAGCCCCACGCCGAGCTCGAGCTCGAGCAATCTCACGTCCGAGTGTTCCGGCTGGGTGAGCAGCGGCGACACCTCCAGCTCGGAGCAGCGCCGCAACCAGGCGAAGCTGTCCAGCGAGCAGCTGCGGCAGAAGCTGTCGAAGATCGTGCCGCGCAAGGACCGCTCCGCCGTCGCCAAGGAGAGCGTGGACGAGCACTCGTACGAGGAGGTGCGGCTGCCGCCGCCCAAGATGTTCCAGGACGAGCCGCCGCCGCCCGAGGAGTTCCGCGACCCGCCGGCGCAGATCGATAATCCGCTCTATCACGTGTACGAGACGGTGAAGCAGACGAGAAGCCCGAGGCAGAATAAGACGGCGCCCTGCAGTCCGCAGCGGAACCGCGATCGGGACAGGGAGACTCCCTACTCCAGCGTGCGGGACATCTGCCTCGACTGTTATCAGGAGGGCAAGGAGCTGTTGCAGTCCACGCAGGACGACTTCATCAATTTCAAGAAGTGCAAGGAAGAGTTCAAGCGACAGATGAGCTTCTCGGGGAAGATCTACAGGTATGTCGAGCTCTCTCGCGCATGATGACACGATCTCTGCCCTCCCGATTAGAACTGCTTCCTTAAGGTCTGGTGTTCGCGGAACACAATTTCAAATCGTCGACGTGCTTTTCGCGTGCCAAATAGATGGAACGTGAAAATCATAGATTTTGTATCCGATTTAAAGTATATACCACTTTCGATGGATTGAAGCGAGCTGTCATAGAACATAGAAAATAGTATCTGATTTCTTTCTTGAAAATCTAATGTCAATTTATTTATCGCGAAATGAATTTCAAGTGACGTGATCAAGTGATTTAGCGAGCACTGGGACTCGGTTTGTTGAAACCATGATTACGCTTTAGTGGCGTTTTTTTTTATTCCAATATTTTTTTCCCACCGCACTCTTTAATAGCGCGATGCAAAGGATGACGATCGCGCTAGGAGCGCTAAGTGCCGCTTATGTTTCGCTTCCGCGTTGTTTCCGCCTGTCTTTCCGTTCCGTAGTTAAGTTCTCTTCTCTGTCTACCTTATCCCCCTCTAGAGAACGCAAGGAAGCACAGTTGCGTTTACATAAGCGTGCCCATTCCCTCGGATACGGTGACCTTCTGAACTTCTCGTCGTCGGTTCAACCATTAAGATCGCATGTGCCTCTTAGTGACTATCCGACCCTGGCCTCGACCCTGCCGTACTTCTACGTCAGCGACGAGAATCGATTCTTCTCGCCGGACGGGGTGCACCTCATCATATGCGTCCACGGCCTCGACGGAAACGCCGCCGATCTCCGTCTCGTTAAGACATATCTGGAATTGGGTCTGTCTGGGGAGAATTTGTATTTCCTGATGTCCGAGAGAAATCAGGTGAGTGGCGGTCGAGATGCTGGAACAGAATGCTGAATCGCATTAACAAATGATGCGATACTTGCTTTTTATTCTATATTATAATTATTTTATTTTATTTTTAAATCTCTCAAAGAGGACTTTTTATATGCGATATTAAAAATCGCAATTGAGAATATATCGGCGTCTCACACTGCGCAATGTCATTTGTGTAACGAAAGGGCGACACTTTCTCCGACTTCGACACAATGACCGACCGGTTAGTTGCCGAGATTCTCCATCACGTTGGATCGTCGGGCATGAATCCGAAGAAGGTGAGCTTCATCGGGCATTCTCTTGGGACCATAATCATCCGGAGCGCCCTGACGCGGCCGCAACTGCGTCCGCTTCTTCCACGCTTGCACACCTTCCTCAGCCTGAGCGGACCCCATTTAGGCACTCTTTACAACACGAGCGGTCTGGTGAACGCGGGTAAGTCCGAGATGCGGTCTCAAACGCTAAACCCCCGTGTCTCTCGGTATCTCGGGAATGACATTTCAATCGATTCGCGCAGGTATGTGGTTCATGCAGAAGTGGAAGAAGTCCGGATCCCTGCTGCAACTGGCGATGAAGGACGCGCCGGACGTGAGACGCTCCTTCATGTTCCGTTTGAGCCAGAAGAGCAATCTGCAGAAGTTCAAGCACGTTCTGCTGTGCGGCAGCGCCCAGGATCGATACGTGCCCCTGCACTCCGCTCGGATCGAGCTCTGCAAGGCCGCCGTGCGAGATCCAACGGATCAAGGTATCGCATTTGAATGCAGTGCTGATCGTCGGATGGTCTTGAAATTTTAACGACGAGCCGTTCAATTGATCGAGGACACATTCGCTAGAAATTGAAATTCTTCCAGGTGCCGCGTACCGCGAGATGGTGCACAACATTCTGTATCCCGTGATGTCGGCACCCGGCGTCAGTCTCGTCAGATACGACGTTCATCACGCACTACCGCCGACGGCGAACGCCCTGATAGGCCGAGCCGCGCACATCGCCGTCCTCGACTCCGAGCTTTTCATCGAGAAGTTCCTGCTGGTGGCGGGACTGAAGTATTTCAGATAAAGAATGGACTGTCTAGGTCGCGAAGGAAGCAACTAATTAAATTATCACGTCGCGTCGCCGTTCGCCGCGATGTCGTCGACGATCGCGTGATTAGCGTAATTTATATAGAGCGTCCTATCGAGCGTCGCCCCGCTTCGTCTTTCCGGCTCAGCCGCCTTCTTCCAAAGAAACGACTCGGATCGGCCGAAGCGGGGCAATCCGGTCTTTTTTACACGAAAACGCGGCGCACGCCGTCGTCGATTTTAGCGTTTAAACGTCGTTAGATTTTCACGCGTCCACCTCGACGCCGAGCGTGCTCGCGGAGCGCGGAGAGGGTCGCGTGCGTTTATCATGTGAACGGAATCGGATTCACTTTCGCAGCGCTTCATCGAAAGTTCGCCCCGTGAACGTGCGAATCGAATGGATCTGTAGCTCGCCGTGAAACGGGCCTACTTTCCAGTGTAAGATGGTGATAATAGTAGTAGCAAAATATTCTCTGACCAAGAGAGAAAAGGGTGACACGGAGACTCGTAGGAAAAATGCAAGATTATGTGAGAGTTAGGATAATGATTTGCCGAATACTATATATATATACGCCTGGAAAATTGTAGTACGTGACGTACGTCATCGCTATGAGTGATTGAGCGTACTTCAATCTCGGAAAAGATGAGAGAGCTGATTAACGCGTTTGGCAGGCCTAGTGAAAAGCGACGGAGTAATTACGAGAAAACACGATATGATCGTCGAGCACATCAGCTTCATCAACGTCGTTGCGAGAAATGAATCGTAGAAGAGAAAAAAAAGAAAAAAAAAACGAAACGAGAATTGTTGAGATCGCGCGGCGGTACGAAGACGTTTACTTTTTTTTTTAAAGAAAGGAAAAAAAGAGACTTTGAAGGAGGAGACTCTAGCGAGCGAGGGCTCTGTCGCCGGATGTATTCTCTACGATGCGTGGCCGTGCGTTGAGGAGAAAATAATAATAATGTAATAAAAATAAAAATAAAATAAAAATAATAATAAAAGTAAGACAATGCAACGACACATTGTCTAGTCGCATAGGAAAGTTACGAAACGTATGTCAATTGTTATCCTCAGATAAGTGTGAGTGCTGAGTGCGGTGAATGCAGAGAATGGATGAAAGCTAACTAACGGTGCTGCGAGAACGAGAGAAAGATCCGAAGAGGAGAGGAATGCTTAGGCAAAATGATGACACATCAGCGAGGCTGAGGATGAAGGGACGCCGAGAAAGACGCACGATCATGGGACGTTGACCAGCGTTATCAGCATTGACGGGACAAGACTCGGGTGAAACGCAGCGATAATGAATTTCATCAGACGGGATGAGTTCCTTGGTAAAGTTTCAGTGTAGTGCAAATTCGCGCCCTGAAGTGAGGCAAAAGAAAAAGAGGGAGAGGGAGAATTTGGGGTGCAAAGCGGATGCGGTGATGCGACGGAAGTGACTAACGTTTCAGGTACACAAAATCCCTCCAATATTAGATCTCAATTGCTCAGAACAATCTATGATGAAAAACAAAGAGATGAAAAAAAGAATTATGTTAATTATAATCGAGCGGCCGGAAACGCGAAGCGTCGCGCCCGCGAGTGCTATTACTGTCGAGACCGTCGTCGTCGAGAAACGCGAACGAACTTGGCTTGCCGTCGGTCACTTTTCAAGTCTGCACGGTGTTCCAGAATCGCTGACTTTAATTTTAATGACGAACTCCTCGACCAATTTGAAATAAATGTTTTTCTTAACAACAAAATATATCAATTATTGATTTACTAATGATTAGACGTGAAGGATCCTTTTTGGCATTCGCCGCGGCAAATAATGTGCGTGTGCGCGGCTGTCCTTAAAAGAAGTGAGCATTGAATTTCGAGGATTTAAAATGAACTTCAAACGCCAAAGATTTTGTCATTAAAATTCAGGCGGGAGTTTCTGATATACTCTATATGCCAAACTGCGACGTATGATCGCGTAGCAATTAGTCGCGAAAATGACGCCTCATACTTCGAAATCACACACTCGTGTGTGGAGGAACTACGAAATACCAAAATTAAGTGGATATATGTTAGGTGTTTATACCGTGCATTATGTTCTCGTGGATGTCCGTTTAGTACTTTTGACAAGCACGACATGTCGATTGCATATTCCTGCATGTGTTTGTGAGTGATGTAAAACGATATAAATAAGCCGATATTCTGTAAACGCGAATGTATGTATATCTATAGATTGCAATTGTTATCAATTGAAAACTAAAGTACGAGGCGTCTATTTTATCGCGTATTACAAAATAATTACAGAGTGGAAAATCATAAAAATTATTGTTCTTCAAAATGTCATTTTTCAAGCTGAACGATTTCTAGATTTTACATAAACAATTGAATTGTTATTCCGCTGTTTCTGAAAACTTTTCAACGATTGAATGTATCGGTTTTTGTAATTTTTTTTTTTTTAGTATATGCATTTTATTGAGATAAACGCATGTATATGATGGATGGCCCTTTATGATCTTCCACTCCACGATTCTCACGCTACAAGTCTCTTCGTACACATACTTTCCGAGCGCAAACGCACGCGTAGAAAATAACGATTTTTACAGTGATTCCATTATCGTAACGCATGCGTTAAAACGGATCACACGGATCATACGGATCATACGTCAGCTTTCAATATGCGAATAATATCGTCGCGCGTAAATCCGTACCACTCGTATCCGTAACACCCTGTGTATTTCATTTACATGCGTAAAAAAAAAAAAACGTAACGTCTACATATATCGTCACAATACGATCATCTATGACCACCATAAACATGTGTACTGCGATCGTGTGTATTACTGCAAACGCGAGCTCGGTAATAATTATGAGATGATTAAAAGTTGCGTTAATAAGCGCAACTTCGCATCAGACTGACAAAAGGTTTTTATTGAAAATGTGTATCAAAATAGTGAGAAGCAATTCTGTTTATGTAGTAATTAAAATAGATTATCTTTCTGGATTTTAGCTTTAATTAAAAAAAGCGAATAAATTTCGAAAATTATTCATATTTTTATGTTCAAAATATTTGATAAAATAATTAAAGTAGCTAACGGGATAAAATAATTTGTAAAAGTAATTGCTATTTATTTATATTGCTCTCTTTATAAAAACAAAATATTTATAATTTTAATAGAAGTTTTTAAAATTCCATTTTGACATCAGTGCAATTTGTTTTAATAATTTTTCGCGTGATGCCAAATTATATTTGCCGTAAGAAACTTATCCTGTCTTATGGTACGGTAATTATGAGTACCATTTTATCGAGCCCGCCGCTGAGAATAGTCTTTATTCTCCCGAATTCTGAATATTGAATAGTTGTCTAAAAGAAATGAAAACACAAACTCTGTGTATTAAAATATTTCTCTATCACTTTATTTGTGTCTACACTGAGTTTTAATAGGACCATCGAGATGGGCCGTTTATCTGATAAATGTGTTGGATTTTTCAATAAAGGGATTGGTGGCATTCAATATTTGTCAAGCAATCAATTTCTGACACTTGTTGAAAATTTCAGCTCTTTGTTTTCTACACTTGACGTCATTATCTGATTTAAATTGGATAGCTTTCATGTGAAAGAAGCCAAGCGCGTGTTTTAATTAATTGTAATTTGAAACTAATTTAAATTAAACTTTCGAGAATTTTGTACCCTAGAAATATTTATAAGATAATTTTAAAAGGAATTTTAGATGGTATAGCAATTTAAATAATAGTAAGAAAAAAAGAAAGCCGATGTTATACACACAAAAGATACACAAAACACACACATACACAAAATACACACATGCCTTTTTATATAAATATAAATAATTTTGTACATTATTATAAATATATTTATAGAGCGCATTAGTATACTGTAAAATATTAAATTCTTATAATGTAAGATACTTTTACATTCTTCTCTCTAGGAGAAACCTTAGAAGTCTATCTCAAGTTTTACATAAATGCGCTCGGCTTCTTTTACATGAGAGAAAATGTTGTTGTGCAATATTTATTTGAAATCTGAAATTAATATTAAATTACCTATGCAATTAATAACATTTGAAAGCTGAAATAACATTCATCTACATTTGCCGATCTCCGTCAAAGATTGATGACATTTATATCCCATCAATAAACCCGGAGAATAAAAAATTTATTAAAAATATCGAGCGTTACAGTTGGACGAAGTTATTCTCCAACTATCTCTTTAATCAAATTTCTACTCTACAACGACACGTTTATCAGGAAAATAGCCGTCACCGTGTGTTGTATAGTGTTTTCTCAACTGCGAATAAATCTCGTCGATGACGCTTACGCGCGTCATCGATCGATTGCGAGCGCGAGGCGAACAAGTCTCTTCTCTTTGTCTGTTGTTAGCATCTCGTCACAAATCGTGCGCGGAAAAGATTACGGAAGACGGCGAAAAGGCAAGGAAATGAGGGTTCGGAAAAGAATTCGAGACGCTTTTCCATTTGCTCGTTCACGAGGAACGCGGATCAAAAGGAATTTTCATTGCTGTCCTATTGTTTGCTCAACTACAGCGTCGTTTTATATTTGTGATCGTACAAATCAACACGTTCTCTAGTCGCAAATTATTAACTTTGTACTCTCGTCGTGTAAATTTAAGTTTTTAACTTACCACCTAAGGCGCAATTTTCTAGGAATTTGTTGGGAAACGATCAAACCGATCGTAATCGCGGCCGCGATCGGAATGCGAATCGCGGCGCGATCGATCAACCGTTTTCCGCGTTCCGTTTCTTAATACATTTTAGAGAGATTTTCTCCGGACCGGACTATTTCAGGGACATAAAATCGTGTTGTTGCACCTTTGGTGGACATGTCCTTGCGTAATTTACGATTCATTCGTATATTTATTCCTTTTCTCCATCTTGTAGCGTCATCCTGGCTGGACGACCGAGTATATGTATGTTTATAACGAGTTTTCCGTAATAAATTATAATGGCCTCTCTATCGAAATAATTAACGAATAATTAACGAACGGAAATTTCAATGTCGTGCAATCGCGCTCGTGTCCGGACTGGCTGGGCTCTCTTCGGGCTCACAAGAGCCTTTCTTATAAGTGAAAAAAAAAAAAATAGATATATATGTATAGATTAAAAATAAATATATAAAAGTATAAAATGATATAGAGAAAGTCGATGTGTATGAGACATCCATTATTCGTTGTTGAAAATTAAAAAAAAATATATATATATATATCTAATTTTATATTTTATATTTCAAACTTTATCCTGAGAATATAAACGCAAGTTATATAAAATCATACGATTTATAAAAATTTATATTTTCCTGAAGAAAGTCAAATTCATATCTCGATATCTCAAATTTTTACGCTATCTCTTACGTCTATCTTCGTCTCTAAAAGAAATTACAGAGTCCTAATGTAGAATGGCGGAGAGTTTCTCGAAATGACTTCTGAAAGTTGAGTGCCGAGGCTCTGAGAAACTGCCAGTCCGAGAACGAATTTCTTTTCCCTCTTTAAAGTATGCATCGAAGCATTCATCGACATTCGGAAAGGAGAACTCGGTATCGTATTCTGCTCGTGTCGTGATTATCGAGCACGTATCGTACAGCCGGGTTTGACCAAATATCGACACCACGTAATCGTCGATCAAGCCATTGCGAGTTAGATAGTGAGAAAGGGAGAGAGAGAGAGAGAGAGAGAGAGAGAGAGAGAGAGAGAGAGAGAGAGAGAGAGAGAAAAGAGAGAGAAAGATCATATATAGCACAAGCGAGCAGGATTTAACGGAAGATACAGTTGTCGTTAAAAGAGAAACACCAATGAAGAAGTAACAAAATGTATACACTATACATAATATATAAGTACGTATAAAAAAAAATGCATAAATCTACATATACATGAATGAGAGATAGATTAATAAAAAATCTCAAGCCATTACATCATTATTATTCACCAATACCTGAAAACAGACCTTACCCGACACGCATACTCGATACGTCCCTCGATCAAGAGTTCGCGCGACTTAATCCGCAATACTTTTTACAGCCAAAAAGCCAAAGGTAAATAAAAAAGACTGCGCTGAGTGAAGAGACCATTAAATTTTTTTTTTAATTGGAATAAAATAACAGATCACGGTACATACGAATCTGTAGCGAAAATCGTGACATCGAGATACGCGTGTAAGAGCAGAAAATGTATTCATAAAAAATAACAACGTCGCATCTGTCAGCGGTGTAAAATATCGCGCACTACGTTCTTTCTTGTCATATCGAAAAGTGTAAATAATTGTGTTCGCCGAGCGTCGTGTCCAATAAATTCCACCAATTTGCGAAATCTAAAATTGTCCCCGCGTTCGCATACGCACGTACACCGTGCTGCATTCGATCGCACGTACAATTACAATCCTTGTTACAAATTTTACGAATTCAAAGTAGATTTACAAAAAAAAAAAAAAGACGCGAAAAAAATAATGCTACCTACAAAATAATAATTAAAATAGGGGCCTGGCAAAATAGCCGTCTCTTGCGCGAGACTACGCCTTAATTTGCGGCGGTCAAAACTTCCGCACTACGAGTAATGGCGAGAAACAACGAAAACAACCTGCAAAAAACTTGCTAATGCATAACGCAATTCAACTTCAAACCTCCCATTCTTCATACCCTTATTAATCCTATTCGGTTGCCTCTTTTTGTCCGGCAAATTGAATTTCGTTATACAATTTAAGAAGCGCATTTAGACTGATTTTTAAGTGGCACAATAATTAGAACCCTCATTTTTGTCCGCGAATTTGTACGGATTTATCTCCCTTATTTTCTCAACAATTTTTTTACTTTCTTTTGGCTAATTAAAAAGTCGACTAGAATAAAGCTGCATGCTTTTGTAATCAATTTTAAATATTATTAAAAAAAAATATTCTGTATATTTTTTATTGAACCAATCATTTTTAAGTATGAATAGTATTAAAAAATATTTATACGTTTACGTCGGTAGAACAATTCTGTCTACTTTGTCAAATATACAGAATATCATTTTTTTTAATGATGTCCACAAAATATCACACAGTGTCATGCCGAGCTTTGTTTCGATCTTTGCTGACGTTTAATCAAGCTGCTGTACAACGTACAGCAGCTCTCCTTGCATCTCCTCTTCGTCATTGTCGTTCTCCTCGTTGAAATTTCCTATACCATCGGCCATACCATCTGTAGGGCCCGCAACGTGCGCTGACTCGCTTACGTCGATCTGCCCATCCTCTCGCGCGGAGATTATAACATTAGTCTCAGTGGAACCCTCGCCAGGCCGATCGGACTTCTCGCGATTTTTCGATGTCGCTTGTCCTGAAAGGTCACAGTAGCACGTTTAATTCGTCAAGATTCTTTTTTTTTTTTATTGCGCGCGGAAAAGGTGAAAAGTCGCGATAAATGCTCTTCAGTCGAAAAAATTCTGTATAAATAATCTCTTCGCATACTCGTGCGCTTTTCACATTTAAACGATTGCTGCAGTATAAGTTACACCCGGATTTATTTTATTATATACGAAATGTTTTTCATGATGATGTACGACGATACTTTGCGATTGGCTCTTTGCCAGTTACGCTTTCAGAGCTACGTGAATTCGTCGCGCTACAATGCTTTACGTACCAAAAATGCGGGAATTTTACGCAAAGGTTGATTGATGAAGTGTAAGCTCGCCACATTCACGTCTGACGTAAATATGTATATAAAGATGCTGAGGGCACGGTATGAAGGTTTAATCATCTCTTTTGAGATTCACGACAAGGCTGTCTAGTTTACACTGACCTTGACCGAGATCCCGCGCCTTGCCGAGATAGGAGTACTCGCGCGCGTTTGCTAAACCCTCTATCACACAGGCACTGAGTGCACTGCGACTGAGATTCATGGGGGATGCGTCGTACCATTCGTTGTAATCAGCGTCGTAGCACTCGACGCACGCGATTGTATTCGAGCCTGTAATTATGTTTCCATACAATAATAATCTGCTTATTTTACGCGAAGTAAGATTGCGTTCTGTATATCTGTGGCGACAGGTTTCGTACAACTGTTATGATAATCATCAAACATTTCGATTGTGCGCGCACATTATTATTAATTTTTTTTATTTATAAAAAAGGTATAATTAAAAAGATCTCTCCAACGCTTTTAGACGAGAAAAGTGATATTTTCAGAAAAACTATTAAAAGCAAAAGTATATATTTTCTTGGAAAACCGACTTAAGCGATAAATCGGAAAAATGTAGGCGAACACTCAAAAAAATGATCTTGCAATAATAGCTAAAATTTTCTAGGTGTAAAAAATTAATTAAAACAGATAAATAATTAGCAACTGTTGTGATATTGCATATGTAATTACTCAATCAGTTTAGATGACAGAAACAGAATATATATCTGTATTGTTTGTGAACTTTAAAAAGAAAGTTTTTCTAAAGCGCCTATCTATATAAGATCAATCACGTGTTAGATCATGCAATGAATAACATTTAGCAATGGTACCTAAATTTTTCAGAAGCTATTGCTAGAACATTACTGCTATAAATTCTATATGTGACAAACAATGTTTTCACAGATACGAAAAATAGCGATACATTCTTGTTGCGATATCTAGAAATCTAACTACATCAGCGAAATATTTTTTTGAGTGAAGATAGAAAGTTTTTCTAGGATACCGTTGTAACCGCCAATGGCGAAAATCATGTCGTCAAGGATGACCGTGGCAAAATTGCTGCGTGGACTAAACATCTCCGATATTCCGTGCCATTGGTCCGAATGGTTTGGGGTATAACGTTCTCCTGTTTGGAAAATTTTCACGTGAGTAAATGTTTATTTTAATAATTCAAATAAAAATAAATATTTATTTTTCTTCGATGCTACCACTTCGCTGCGAGACCTGTCATTTCAAACGCTCGCGTGGCAAATATTTTAATATGGTTCGCGGACATCAGTAAAAGCTGTATATATATATGTGCAGTACAACTGACATGCTATTCGAAAATGACGATCGCGTAACTAACGTAGTTACAAGAGAACGAGGGACTGCATTAGCTGCATGAACATTTCAGTATGAAACTAAATCCTGATAAATGCGCGGAGCTTCTGCGGAACTTCTCTCGACTAATTAATTACGAACGCATACGTGACGTCAGCATATGCACATTTATAGATTTACACGTGTATTTGCGCGCGATCGATAGCCCACTCATACAAATGTAAATTGACATTAAATATTGTTCTTTTTTGAATAATATCTCAAAGTGCCTAAAGTGTTCCCATTGCAATTATAGTCATTGCGCTTAATAGCAATAACCAATAAATGGCTGACTTTGGTTAATTAGTTGAAAGCAATTATTGTAATGACGCGTGGTTGTGTTTTGGCGGAAAGCGATGGCGAATGCGACAGACACATTGTTAGTGCAAAGGGCAAACGTAAAGTTTTTAGTGATAGAAATACTGGATCTCTCTGAGACATCCATAAAATGATACGTGGAGTTTGTAAGGATGAAACTGTGGGAAAGAAGATGTTTTCACGACGTCGAAGACGGCGCTCATAAAAATCCATCCCGAGTAAGTTCGAAGAAATGGAATTTTATTGGATGTAGAAAAAACCTAGTCTTTGTATATCGCGTCGTAAAGAGACTGTTTTGAAGGTAAAAGTATTCAAGACAGCCACAATCGTCGGTAATCTACAAAAAGAACAAAAAATAAGTACGAATTTTACTGTCAGACCTCGTAACATTGCGGCGAAACCATAATTTTTTTGCGGCTACTATGTGAAAAGAGATCAAAAGACTCCGCAAACATTCCAGAATTAACCATAATAAGAGAAATTAACCAGAACTTAGCCTCGTAACGCCGCTGAATCCGCCGAGAGCGTAGAGGCTGTCGTGAAATGCGACGAGGGAGACGCCGGATCGCGGACTGATCATCGAATGGATGTTGGTCCACTGATTGGTCTCCACGTTGAAGACCTCCACCGAGTCGAGGACCTCCTGGCCGTTGAAGCCGCCGACGATGTAGATCTTGTCGTGCAGGGCAGCCGCGCTCGCGTCAGAGCGTTGCCGGTGCATGGACGGTATCATTTCCCACTGGTTTCTCTGCGGTTCATACCGTTCGCCGGAGCTCATCCTCGTGCGACCGTTGTAGCCGCCGAGGGCATAAATCTTGCCGCCTTGAACGACCGCCAGAACAATGAGAGCAGTAAGTAGACAATAGAAATAGTGTGAAAAGACAGCGGAACAAATGATCTTGGCTATCAAAAGATGGAAAGATTTGTTTTAATTGTAAATTTTAGCGGGAAACAAAAGGATGTCTTATTCTCCCTATAAATTTTATATCTCTGCTTATCTTATTATCCATTTAACCTCATGAATCATCGTTTGTTTTAGTATATAAAATATCAGCTTTACATCTCGAAATGTTCACTCGCAATGGAACCATTGTTGTGACGATTTAAAAATTATTAAATATGAAAGTAATCGATATTTAATGTTAATATTAGCGAAAAATAAAAATTGCAGAGCTTTGGAAAAGAAACTTCGCGGTACATCAGAAAACTCACCATGTGCGCAAACACTGACATAACATCGGGCATGATACATGCAGGCTCGTTCCCGCCACTCTTTCGTCACCGGATCGAAACATCGCACCGTGTTAAAATGCTCGTTACCGTCGAATCCACCAATCATGTAAATGAGGCTGTTCAAAGCGCACAGTCCGTGATAAGCTCTCGACGTTACATCCGTATTCACTGATAGAAACCATCTGTCAGCTCTAGAGTTCACATTTAGATGCGTTATATGACTCTCAAGGCGTCAATATCTTTCTACATGTAGCGCAGTTAAGTGCCGCTTGCAAAAGGTCAGTCCCTTCTGTGACGTCAAAGTTGCGCTCTTTTAACTATCTTTTTTGTATATGCGTGGTCTCAATATCCTTATTTTAAACAATACAGTGTGTTTAACATAAAATATTTATAAATAGTTATAAGAAAAATGTCAAATTTGTCGAAAAATCTATCACTATCTACGTACAACATTTTTATTTTTATCTGAAGGCCTAAAACTGAAATTTCGTATTCACGCGATGATATTTTTGAACTGTCTTAAATTTCCATTTCTATGGAAATTTTGATTACATGGTATTACTTTGCCGTTGGGTTTGGCGCACCTTGTGTCGTACGTTTCTACAAAACTGGTGGGCGAGCCGGCGCTCCATCCACCGATCGCAAAAAGAATTTCGTACGGAATTCTGGGTCTTGCAAGAGGATTTTTTAGGTCAATCTCTCCATCGTTCTGCTTTGAATCTTGCTCGATCAGATAGGCATTTATGGGACGCAGGATTTGCTGGCATGCCTTCAAAAATTCGATTATTTAATACAAAGCATATCGCGCAGAAGCAAAGGTTGCTCTACAAAAGAGTCGCAGTATAAAAAAATTATACATAATTTACTTTAATTTCTATTTTTGTCAAAATAATATTACGTATGTTTTAATGAATGAATTTTCTTGTATTTTCTCTTTAACGTTTAGAATATCTCAGGAGAAATTATTTGACCCTTTCAGATTTTCTCCGCAGTGTATATATACGGTGTTATCGATTAAATGAACTATATATTATATAATTTTTTAATCTTCAATGCTTTAGCTTCTTGTCCATTTCGTTCTATCTTATCAGATAGAGATATCTTATCGGAATCATTACATTTTCTATATTTCTTTCAGTACTTCTAGCACTAAATAAATAAAGCGGAAACTTTTATGAAATAAGACGTGGAAACATCGTCTGTTAACTCAATCTAATATCAAAACAATTTTTTTGTCAAATAAATAATAACAAAGGAACGTAAATTTGCACCACGGTTAGATCCATAATGTACGAACCGAAATGGAGAAAAACAAGGAACACGAGGATTAACAAGTGATGAAGGTGCGCGCTTACTTCATCTTCCTCGACGAGCTTCCATTTGACGATGTTATTAATGAAATACTTATGACTCATGAGACCATAGCGTATACATTCCAGCAACCTCGGTAAATAAACTCGTCTCTCCTCGACTCTATTTTCGACCCACGTCTTCACGGCGTCGAACACTATCTCCTCGTTTTTAACATTGAGCTCGTCGTCGCGCAATATTGCTTCCAGCTCGTCGCAAAGGAGCTCCTTGAACTCCGCGCTCTCTTTCAGTATCTGCTTGAAATGGTGACGTATGTACTTCCGGCCCTGTTTCTCGAGGTCGCGGCAGAAGTAGTGGCGTGCAAATTTGAAGATACCTGTCGTATTAACATTAGCAAATTATTTCTAACATCAACACCAATGAGTTGTTGATCTTGGAAGTCGGCAATCAACATTCAGAATTTAATACGAGCGAATAATATGGATGAAAGGAAATTCAATTTTCCTACTATTATTTTACTTGACTTACATTACGAAGTAATCCAAAATTCTGAAGTGAATACGCAAAGCTATGAAGCAATATAGACTTTCAACTTAGTTCTATGCATGATTATTTGTACTGCAGATCTGACAATTAAAAATCCTCTTTAACGTTTTTTATCTTTTTTCTTGAAATTATACCTAAGCAATTTTCGGGTCGTAACTCTTGTAACAAAAACTGACAACAGAGCTGAACGATTCCGAGCACCTCGAATTGATCGGCGAGCGGCAAGAGTTGCTCGACATTGTCGACGTTTACGTTGCACGTTCCCGTGTAAGCATAATCAAGGATTAGGCTGAAGATTTCGCCGGGAACCGAACTAATGACAACCTCTGTGGTCTCAGTTTTGCCGCCTTTTAAGCTGTTGGTGAAGAGGGCTTTGAAGTAAGGGCTCACCGCGGATAATATGGCCCGATGGACTGGGAAGACTTGATCTGGACATCTTATGACACCGTCGCACAGCTGCTGGTTAGCCCTGAAGCCGATAGATTCGTCATATAAATTTGAGAACATATTTATTTATAGTACGAGCTATTTAATTAAAATCTGAAATATGCATGAGAGTACGAAATAGAAATATAAATTAACAGAAATCAAAATTTTAGTATTGAAGTTTATTGAAAATTGTGATACAATATTTAATTTATTGATTCACAGTTCATGTTTTTCAATACATGAAAATTGAAATTTTAATTGCACGCTTTACGTAATTTATGAAAAGAAAATTGTTAATTTTCTCGTTTAAATATGTTTTTTCATGAGAGAATAAAGAGGGATAATGAAAAAGTGGCCATAAATCGCTTCACGTAAAAAAGCATAATAATCACTTGGACTGGCAAATTTCGTAAGCTCGGGCGAGATTTTATCTCAAAAACCGCACATTGTCCGGACGTGAGAGAAAGAGAGGAAGTTGATAATCCCCTCTGCGCGTGGGAGGGCTTTAATTACGTCGGCGCATGATTACCGACCTGAGCTCGGACCAGACCACAGGGAACTCCACGAGGGCGTAATTGGACGGCAGACACATGCATTTCCTGATCCTCGCCGACTGCTTTCGCCTGGGATGCTTGAGGAGCCTGCCGATACCGGAAGTGGCGGCGCGTGACACTCGACAGTGGGACGATCTCCTGTAATTCATTCTGCCAATGTCCATCTCCTCTCGTGCGGCGGCGGCGGGATCCACGTGCACCCGGTATTGCGCACCGAGCTTCCCACCGCCTCTTCTGCTTCGCCGCTTCCGCTCAACAACCGGCAGCTCACGTATTCGATCTCTTGCGGCAAACGCGAGTCCCGATAGTGCCGAGACGCGCGGCCGATGCTTGACAGACGAAGGCCAAAGATTAGCCGACTCTGATCCGACTCGATCGCGCGTCTCTCGATCTCTCGACAGAATTGCGTTAAGTGATATTTGGTGCACTTCCGTCATTAGCGAACGAACGTGATCGTTAAATTTATGCTTAAAATGTGGACAAAAAATGTTCATAAAAAAGGTAATATAATTATAAATTTGTTCATGAAAATATAAACACGGTATTACCTTAATTATTAATTATTGTGCAGCGTGATTATGTACTTTGCTTTTAAGTATAAAATATTTCGCGCGTCATTACTTACATTTGTGAATAAAATTTTTTAGTAATTATTTATTTAGGACACAGTCAGTCGTTTTACAGAGGATAATTTATTATTTTTACATTTATATTTTTTTTATTAATTGTGTTTTTGTCTCTTTAAAGTGTACCTCACTTTTAAATGTAAAATATTTTACGCATTTATAAATTATGGTAATTATTTATCAGACAGATGACCTTTCGCCGGTGATTTGGTTATTATAGTTTTCCTTCTCTATTAACATTCCTTTTTTTATTTCATTGACTTGCGATAGTATCTGCATGAACTCACACGAAGCAGAAATTTCAACAAGATTATTTCACAGAAGCAGGTGCGCGGGCAACCCGTTTCCGCAGGCATCTCGTCGGAACTTATTTTATCAGGATTTCGCTACTGAGCGTAGAACGCTTTACCACGTTTCACTGCGTCAAGTAATATCTTCCTTTAGAGATAAAGTGTTTCTAATCTATTTAAAATCCTCCTTTCCTCGCGCGGCAAATAAAAGAAGACCAAATAATCTAAAAATCAACTTTAATTCTTGAGATATAACAAAAGCGAAGTATTCCATTTGGCTCTGCAAAAAGATTCAATAAAGAATTATAGGTGTTGCGAGTGGAAAGTTTCAAATAAATAGAGCCTCAATACCGTTCTACAAAAGAACGTTCCTTTCAAGCGCGTTATCCATTCGGCTGATAATGTGCCCGTTCGCAGGATAAAAGCGTAAAGCAATAAACGAACAAACACGGTTGAGCAGCGAAAGCATCTTGTTGAAGCGGGCCGGATATCTAATATATCGATTACGGAAAATAAAGTATTGGCCTCTTCTTACTAGATGAACGCAGCACTTCTATTTTTCCAATACAGAAAGCATTCCGCGAGGATAACTGAACCGCACAATCATTTGGGTTTAGCAAACCCACGGACTTAAGCTCACACACTGCGGTCGTCCACACACACATACACTTAAACTCACATTAACACATACGCACAGTGAATAAGAACTTGAAAAGAGAAACCGTTTAAAAGTGTGAATTAGATTCGGAAAAATAAAAAAGCGACAAGGGTTTCCAAAAGAATTGTATTTAATTTCATTTATCTCGTGTTTTCATTGCATTAATTATTTATTTTCGAAACATAGTAAAATTAAACACTCGATCTAAGATACTAAAATATATGTTGTGCAATTACGCATTCCTTTATTAATGTCTCGGTGATTAATCAGTACAAGTTAATCTCCATAGACGTCCACGAAAATGAAAGATCCACTTTTTCTAGAAAAAAACTCTTTTCCGCCCGACACCGCGCAACATTTTTCATACCACCCAAAAAATAATTTTTCTCACGCTCCCTCCCGCTCTCGAATCCTCTTAAATTAAATCAGTGATACAATGATCCCGGGGACTGCCAGGCAATTTTTCATTCCCCGTATTACCATAACGAAACCGTCCGTCATCCGCACTCAAAGCGGACGCTGTACATGATTTCATGATAAAATAGTTGCCGAGGGTGGATTTCGTCTCGGCGTTAAATAAATATGCGCGTGGCAGTGGCGTAATGGACGGTTAGCTAATCTTCCACTGGAAGGCTCAAGGAGTTTTCACTCTCTTTTCTCTCCTGCCACGACCTTCTTTCACTTGCCATTCACTTCTTTCGTCAGCGTCGCTTTCAATTATATTCACGCTTTATCTCTTCCATCTTCGGTGGTACAAGCTTGAGAATAATTTGGAACACAATAGTGACATGTGTGACAAAAAATTATATGTAGCATAAAACTTTTTTTCATTTCGTTACTGCAAATACACGAATTTTGTGGATAATTTTACTTCTCCTTTCGCCCCTTCTGTTGTTTCTCCTCTTTTTTCCTCTTCTGCTTTCCTCCCTTCGTACTTTTTTTTTCTTGTTTTTCCTCTTTTCAGCCCCGAATGTCTCTTGACATAAGAGCTTTGGCTGCGTTATCGGTGTATGAATCTACGAACTCTAGTTTGTAGTATATCGCTGCACACTCCCACGGATGTTTACGTGTACAAATTTACTCCGTCTATATGCAGATAGTTCGCATAAGCTCCGTAGATATGGTAATACATTCGTGTGTATAGCATGAAGGAATTAGCGAAATGTCTCGTGCAGAATATGATTACTTTATAACTTATTGTTAGATATTTCGTGGAATTTCGTGGAATTTCATGGAACGCACAACACAAATTTATGTCCGCTGATCCAACAATTCGGTATGCACGAAAGATGGCTCGGGGTACTTTTTTTCAATATTTAAACAAAAAAAAGGGTGACACTAAATGCAAAAGAAGATTAAATAAAAAATATCTCCAAATAAAAATTAATAACTGTTTTATACGAGTATGTCTAACTCGGACGTTCGCAGAATTGCGGGAATTTGCATAAAAGTTTTCAACACATATTGGATCTTAATTCACAGCTGGCTGAGATACGCATGCAAATTCTCTCACGGGCGTTCTCGCATGGATTCGCGTTACGCATATGTAACGCGCATATGCATGTTCACGACTGGGCATGACACACCGTTATCGGGTATTACGCTTTTGTCCGTGATAATCGGAAATGCGAATAATGTATGTGCATTACGGCGACCGTCGCGAAAATATTAAGTGTGAACCTATGCACGATATGCGCAAATATATTTATACGCGCGATGTAAAATTCAAATAAAATTAATCGCTCCGAAGGAATAAAATTCTTTCGGCATTGTGTTTAAATATGAATAGATCCGATGCAAATTTTCATAATAAATTATTCTGCTCATATTTTAAAATACTCAATACGTTGATTTCAATTTTCAAATTTTCCATAAATATTAATCGATCTTGAGAGAAGTGTTACAGCAGGCAGCGCCGAGGGAAGTTGCCGAAACATTTTACGGAACATAGAAACTGGTCGATCGGAGACTTCGCGCGATGGCTAGACCCAGTAGCACAATAACGTCCTTGACCCAGCTTGTATGACCGAAATTTTTCACCGCCACGGCCGCAAACTTAGCGAATGTGCGAAAAACTCTCGCTAACGTATATGGCAAGGCGGCCACCAATCGCCCGAAACGTGTGGAAAACACATTCTCTAACGAGCATCCAGGCCATTCGACATCCTGAAAACGGCCGAAACTTCAAATCGTGTTTACCCGAGGAAATGGAAATGAGCAGCGCGATCGCTCGGCGTTAAGTTAATAAAAAAGCGAAATTGCCCATTTCGCACGTCGACGGAGAAGCATTGCGGATTGTTTTCCAAATAGTCGTGAAATATTTAAGCAAATAACGCTGTGAATGCGTTCTCCGTGTCTCCTTCAATATGGCATATTAGATTAAAGATGATGTATCGGGAATCCCGCCATCCTTCGATTATTTCGATTTCCATAATCGAAGAGTATTCCAAGAAATAATTCATGAAAAACACATTTGCCATCACATTAATATTTCCATAGCGTTCACAATAATTTCGCGCGAAGAGCGATCATCTCCGACAAGCTTTGATGATTTATTCAAGGGCCGAATTCTGTGTTCGTTATAAAAGCTTCCACTCTCACACGATTTTTTCCTCAGTCTCTGAACGCATTTCATTTCGTACGGTCGATGAGATTCAATCCGATCGTCAGATTCAATTTCAACTCGCAAAATGCTCCGGTAAACGGGAAGTATCCAGAGTGCGGGAGGGAGCCTGGCGAGCCGAGAGAGATAAGAAGATAAAAGAGCCGCATTAAATTCGCCTTTGTATACCACGAGCATGCTCGCAGACCCGAAAAATTTGTCACGCAAAACTAAGATGGATCGTCCGGAGACCCTCGCTTGGAGGAACATCACATTTTTCGTCAGTCATGCCACTTATTGAGCATTAAACCTGCCGTTACTTCAACAACTTCATATTACAAAACGACGATTTAATAAGGACATTTTTCTTTCGTACAGAGCCGACGTTGCGTGACAGATGCGCTCGTAATTTCGACGCTGCTTAAATCGCACTTAAGCGTATCAATTCATAATTCTTACGTTACATCGTTCGGCAAAGAGTAATAAATTTATTTGGCTTTTTGTATTTAAATGAAAATAACGCTTGTTGTAGTTCACACCTCTAAATGCTTCATCACGTTCAACAAAAGTTTTATTAGACTGTCAAGCACAATTCGCGATGCGTACAATACTAATGTCGCGCGGACTATGATTTATTAACTCCGAAATTCAGTGTAGAACACGAGAATGCGGCATAGAAAATTCGAAACGATAAAGCTTTTCGTATAAAGCTCTCGTATAAAGATGTCACGCAAATAGAAATGTATATCTCGTTTGTAGAAATAAATCTCTTATATATAGTCGACTTAATCCTGAAAATAGTTTTAACGATTCTCAGATATACGCTGCATAATCCACCGACGTACTTTGCTCCGCAAAAAAAAACTGAGAAAATAGGGGTACAAAATGAGAAAGTATCCAGTTGAAGTTTTGTAATGACAGATTGACTGGCAGCAACAAGCGCAGATTGAATCCCGAAGAGAGCGACTGCGGAAAAGTCTTGGCCGAAAAGTGAAGTTGATTCTCGGATCACTTTGACGCACGATTTACTTAAATGTTATCACTCCCGGTTTTAAATCCCGTCTCTCAAGATATTACACGCATCACCGGAGTCCGCACACATTTTGTCTCATACGGTCGATGGCATCCAATCAGATTGTCAGATTCAATTCCAATTCGCCGGATACCTACGGCGAATAAAGGGACTGGCGGCGGAAATAGGGAGAGAAAAGTAACAATGTGGAAACTAAAATCAGTCCCTATCGCTGCAAGAAACGGCCATCTCGCTGAAGCCTGTTTAGGTTGCCGCGATTAATTATCGCGCGCTGAAACGAAATTAAAAGTTGATAAATTTATTTTAGTTAATAAACTATTTTAACTAAAGTTTAAAATTGACGATAAGCAGAATTAATTGGCATTTTATCAATGAAGAGGTCGATGAGATTTTCAAATTAAGTTACGGGAGACGTTACGGATAGCCATTGTGCGGTAATTAAAAAATGTGCTGCTTTTTTTTAATTACAAAGCGGTACTCTGAGTTATCGCGGTTTAGCGAAGACGCGCAATTCGCCAAGATTGTTCATAACTCTAGTGTAGTTCGGCAAACTCTAGCAAAGTTTACATTCTCTTCCGCTTAAATTTACTCCGCTTAGTCCATCATAATCTAGGTTACTGATGAAAAACATAACCGCATCCTGATTCTTTGAACACTGTTCCTGCTTACGTTAACAGTTGGACTCCCTATTCTGTATTGTGTATCGATTTTACGTGGCCCAGGGCCACTCCATTGGATTTGTAACTTTTATTTTAATCTGCGCATTCCCGCGGAAAATTCCGGATTTTATCGTGCAAAATGGAGAAAAAGATTTCTTCTTGGTTTTTATACGCTTTATCAACAAAATTAAAATGTACGTACGAGTTTATCGTACATCTGTTTTCCGATGGAAATACTTTAGATATATTTTGAATTGAAATTTTTATTTTTCATACGCTGTTTATCTTTAAATAATTAGTAATAAATAAAATATTAAAATCACTTTTAATATTGCAGCAGCGTAAAGATACATATTTTAATCACCCGCGATAAATTATTAAAAAGTTATGAAAAATAAAACTAGCCTTTACTGTTCCAGAAACGTAAAATGTAAAATGAGGTGAAAAAAATCAGAAGAAGATTTATCTCCTTAATTATTTTCGGAAAGATTGCAGTATGGTGGCGCGCGATAGTTTGCAGAATGTGTGTTTATATCACTGGAATGTGCGCATAAAGAGCACAACGCAAACATAATATAACCCATAAAGATAAATGTGTAATTTTACGGGTCGGAGACACGCACATATGGACATTTCGCATTCCTATCTTCCTATCTCGAGCGAATAATCTTCATATCTTAAAATCGCAGAAATTTTTGCAGACTCCCCCCTTCGAACATATACATTTGAAGTACTAAAAGAACAGTCGTATACGCGAAGGAGCCCATCCGACGGCCGATCCGGAGAACGACGAGATCTCAACGGAAAGGCGCACGCCGACCGCAGAGGACCACGCGAAATGCATGTCCCATTTCGCACGGACGACGGCACCCAATCAAGCTCCAGTCCGGTTTCAATTCCAAACCGCGGAATGTCCCGATGAACGAAGACAGCGGGAAAGTGAGAGAAAGAGAAAGGACAATTCAGATGTAGGACGACGAGATCGGGGGGAAAAGTACGCGGCGATAGAGAGTCTCTCTCTCTATCTCTCTCTCTCTCTCTTCTCCCTCGCTCCGTTCTCTCCCTCACTCCGAGCGCAAGGGGGTAGGTAGGGATGATCTGGCCTACCCTCTGGTGCTGCTGGCGCGCGCGCTGGTGCCTTCGGCTT